TATTTATTAATTAATGTTTATATGAATGAAGATTATGATTTGTACTCCAGCTGGAATATTTATTAATTAATGTTTATATGAATGAAGATTATGATTTGTACTCCAGCTGGAATATTTATTAATTAATGTTTATATGAATGAAGATTATGATTTGTACTCCAGCTGGACTTGAGTAGAATGTGAATCACATACATCATGTATTGATTTCCTAAAATAGCATGCTTTGTTTGTGACAGCAAGGCAATTGAAGGCTTTCATCTAAAAATAAAACAAGACTGTTTGGTCATAGACTACCCTTCAGTCTTCTTACATCCTAGCCAAGACAAAAGTGGTGTCTCAATAACGGTTTTATTTGAAGCTGTACAGAATGTAAGTGTTTAAAAACTTATTAATAGCATGTGATCTAGAGTCCTAGAATGATAGCCCCTGGAGAATCATAACTGATAGCCGACATTCCAGTAACTTTGAAATAAACAATAGTATATATAAAATATTACAAGCATTTTATTTTTCAGTTGTTTATGGTTGTGTAAATGTATAAACTTGCAAAACATACACGATCATTTCACTACATTTTTATGCATTTACACATAAACAACTGCAAAAGCAAAACACTTGTAATATTTTAAACCTATTATTATTTGTTACAAAGTAAAAGTAGTGTCTTTGTTATCAGCTTTTGAAATACTTTTCTGGTTTACAAGTAATTAACAATCACTAAATAAAATGTTTATACAAGTTTAACATCATTGCCTCCCTCTTATGAATATCCAAATTAAATTTTTATACATATAGTTAAAAATTAGTGTTCAAGACTAAGTCTGAAATTATAAAGATGATACAAGAGATAAACTGTTTCTTCTAGCAATGTTTTATAATTTATTCTTATGTTGTTATCAATATTAAGATTGATTCTGATTATGAGGGAGAAGATGATTTCTTCAAATCAAGCATGCACAACTTTTAGGTGAACTAACTTTTCTTGCTTAAAAGAAACGTAAAGGTTACATTAAAATAGTACACAAATAAAAATTTGGGAACATAATTTAAGGCAATATAGAAACTATGTTCCATAGACACCTCCAGTATCAGAGAAGTTATCATGACCAAAATTAAGTAAAACCACCATCTCCTTTACCTGTTTATCAACCAGAAAAGTTATCATGACCAAAATTAAGTAAAACCACCATCTCCTTTACCTGTTTATCAACAGAAAAGTTATCATGACCAAAATTAAG